ACATTTTGAATGCAGCTTATAAATGATTTTAGAAAAGTATTCATTAATCTCCATATGTTATATATGTAGAAGCCAACCAGTAAATGATAACCACCCATTTCCCAAAACATAATTCCCATTGACAAGACATATGTAAACGACATCGCCACCTTTAAGTGAAAGTGGGAAAACTCACGTACAGGTTGTTTAGCCTTGAGTAGCGCAGACCATATCACATCCACTCTTCTGTCGCCTAGCTCCATTTACCAGTAATTCACTGTCAAATATGTACCAATGGTAAATTTCCGTTGTCCATGCAAAAACAGAGAGACCTTTCACTGGAGCGGTGAAGAACCCAGTCGTTTGGTCGTAAGCTTTGTGAGAGTCGTAATAAAGAGAATCGTAGACGATGGCTTGATGGTTACCTGGCTTCAAGGTCTGCTGTGAGTAGGCAGTAAAGTACACAGGGTCGGTACCTACAATAAGTTTACATTTATTTGTTTGGTTTGTAAAATTCTTATCAATCCGTTTTAGTTAGTCCCATATTAAAAGAGATGCCAATCTGGTCCCTATTTTCGAAGACCAGAGGGCTGGTTAATATTCATACATATGTGTCTTATTTTGTTTATTACATATTCAATTGGTATACACAAGCAGATTTTCTCCAGATTTTGATTAGTTTAAAATTATTATAAACAATTTTTTATCGTAACAAAATAACGATTTTTTTTTTTTACTTTTTAATTTTATTTTACATACATGTAAAAAGGTGTAAAAGAACCAGACTTCGAAATTCTGGATATGATAAGAAAATTGTGATGTGCACATACCATAGATGTTAAAAACAAATTATTATACAATTTCCTTGTGTTTATGATATACCTGTACTTGAATTATGTTTCTAAAAGCATTCTTGTGTTTAATTAAAGTACGATTTTGCACAATTTTAATTTTTTTTTCAAGAATCTGTTGTAAACATAGAACAGAATAAAAATTAATATCTTTTCTTTAAACTGAAATAAGAATGAATGCCGATGGAATCAGTACTCACCAGTGGGTGAATTTGCCAACTTTGTCTCTAGCTAGATATTTTTGTACTCTGCTGATGAACCAAGGATTCTAACTGTCCCAGCCTTTGTTCATACAACTGTGGGTCCTGTACATGAATCCCATAACAAGATCCCGCAGACAGTAGGAAGCAAAGAGTTAACTGCATAGTAAATACTTCAAAGCAAATGAGTTAATCCCAGGCTTTAAATTTAGAATGCTTTCAACTTCAAGGAATTCTCACAAAGAATTATCAGGCATCGCCTGCTTTTAAAGATTACGTTTGACATAATGGACCGTGTATCAAGGTTAAATGATTATTGTTGAAAGTTATGATGTTGGTGTTTTAGTTGGATTAGGGAAATTTATTTTTCATGCAATGATATTAAGAAATGCTGAATAATTTAATTTATATGTATATTATGTATAGATATTTTTCATGTATAATGGAGAGTTTATAATGCTTACTGTATTTGTTGGTGTTGAGGAGTCGGACAGATAGACACTAGGGGTTCAACACCCCCCACCCCACCCCCGTAGACTCTAGCTATGCGTGCATAATTATATTAATTTTGTGTATACTGATGGGCCGTATGGCTTAAAGTTGTTTAATAAAGAATTAAAGTACTATATTAAAATTTCTTTCAGTCTGCATACAGCTGTCTTTTGTATGCATTCACACTATCTTTTCTATACAATTTCAGCTGGCGAGTGCCATCAGTCAGTACAGTCCTGCGTCTTCTGTATGACCTAAGCCTGCAGTACAATAGCACTAACAAAGAAATTTCATTTCAAAGACCAAAATTAATACTTTTAAACTCTTCGTTCATAAGTAAATCGCAGAATCTGGACTCATCGTTAAAATTGAGTGCAGTCTATATGGACCTATAAATGGGCAACGGTTTAATTGTTCAGAAAAGTTTGCAGATTTTTACAATGAATTTTCTTTATGATATACAATATCATTGTATATTGGGGACATAGGCAAAGATTAATTTCATACCTAGAACAGAGCATCACCTAGGATGCAGTCCTGCCAAAACATTTATGAGCATGCACAATCAAACTGCCTTATATTTTATAATTGCATATTAGTTGTACATGTATATGTCCCCCCAACAAATCGGGGCGGCAAGCCGCGGCATGTATAACCACCCGTTTCTGTCTGCAAGATTAATTAAGAGACCCTTGGCCACAATGGACCTCTGTTCTTCAAAATAATAAAAAAAATTCCCTTCTTTACTCCCAAAAAATATATTGAGCCATACTTTTTGGACTCCTGATAGCCCCAAGTATCTATTTTATACTTGAATTGATACTTCAGTATCAATATATCAGGCCCGTAGAACGCAACGGGGGGTGGGGGGTAGGGGGCCTTCCCCCCTCCCAACACTTTTTCTAAATATAGTATTTTACTCTGTTAATTTTCCTTTAGATGGTTGTTGCCCCCCCCCCCCCCCGAGAATTTTTATTACTATAAGGTCGAGTACTGACAAATTTCAGGATTTGAACAGTTATTGAGGTTTTTGTCTGTTTTTCTTCTGCTTGTCTCACATACATGTACTTTCAGTAGCCATTACGTCGTGGTCAAAAGTTTTTATTTGTGGTGCGAACATCTTTACGCGATGTGCAAGTTTTTTCTTGATGATAACGTTGACGTCATCTTTTTCCTTCTACATATGGATGTCTTAAAAATTGTCGGACATGGATACATGTACATGTATATCGTTTGAAATATTCCTCTAATACTAAATTTTAATTCAAATAAATTCTAACAGATATTTTGGTATTAAGTTTATTGAATTTAATTTTTTCCATACAGAAATATCACTCTATATCGTTTGAAATATTCCTCGAATACTAAATTTTAATTCAAATAAATTCTAACAGATATTTTAGTATTAAGTTTATTGAATTTAATTTCTCCCATAGTGAAATATCACTTAAGTCGCAGTTGTGTTGTGTCTGCCTAAATACTATATACGCGGATCCAGGAATTTTTAAGGGGAGTTCCATCCTTCTTAAGAAAAGAAATCTGTCCTAGAATTTTTTTTGACAAATATAGAAAGGGAAACATCGTGAACAAACTCCTTAATCAAACATGAAACCCTATTTTAGGGGTGGGTTTGGGTTGCTGTGCTATATAAAACTAGCGGGAAAATTTGACATGAATAAAATTAAAATTTAGATTAAGAGGAATTTTTCATATATCTGTGTCTGAATTTTTTGAAGTCATCATTTGTTGTACATGTAGAAGGAAAACGTTTCCATCACGATAAAAATTGCACATCACGTAAGGATGTTTGCACCACACATACAGACTTTTGATCACGATGTAATGGCTATTGAAAGTACATGATCTAATGAAATATGCACATCACATTATGACAAAAAAAAATTACTTAAAGACAAATGCACACCACATAAATTTAATTTTGTTATGATAAGACAGTCCACGTGTTCCATATATTCATGCTTTATCAGGAGTTTTCAAGTAATGTTTTTTACTGGTTCATTGGTTCTTGAGAAGAGGATATTCTTCATATAATCTTTCATTACTATAAAGGAAGTATGAATTAACTGAAAATTACCAATAAATTCAGTTTAAAGTGAATTGAAAAGGTATTCAAATGTGCTAAGGCCAAACAAAAAAATATGTGTGGTTCCGGTTACATCTCCCAAAAAATTAGGGTAGGTAGGTAGGGATTTTTTTTTTTTTTTTTTTTTTTTTTTTTTTTTTTTTTACAAAATGATTTTCTTAATTTTTCTAAATAATACCTATCACTGCTTTGCAAGTGGCATTTAGATGTGGCGTGATAATATACTAGTCAACATTGGTAGGGGACACTATCAAAAAACTTGCACTATGTGTTGAAATGATGTTTTGCAAGGAGGCCGCCATTGCTGAAACTAACACTAATACTGGAGCCAATGATGGAAGTTGGGGAAAATTCTGGAAAAAATATGAAAATTGCCGGAAAAAAGTTTAGGGTCGGGGGTATAAAATAGGGACGGTCAGGTAACCAGAACCACACATATTTTTTTCTATTTGGCCTAAATTAACTATTCTTTGCATATCATACAAATTTTATTTTCACTGGGAAATTTTCTAAGGCCAGTTAACTCTAAAATTAAGAGTCCTCGCTTTTCTCACTCATTAACAAAATTTTAATACTGTAGTACCATTACACATATATGTAGCATGTCAAATAACTAAAATTGGGCCAAAATTAAAAAAAAATGTTTGTTTGCCCTTTTCCGATCCAGATTTTTAACAATAGGTAGGTAGGTAAGAAAAATATTTTATTTTTTCTTCTAAAAATTATACCAAGAAGCATAAGTGCCACAATGCTCATTTAAAACACTTTCGCTTAATTGCTGCTCTTCAAAAGGTTATTTTTGAAAGATTTCCTTTCTACATTCCCATGATAAATTGTGGGACAGGGTCCACCCTATGCCCAAGGACAAATGACATAACTAAATTTAATCTAAATTACATGGGAATTCTTAATATTAGTATGACTAATGGACTAATGTGGCCCTGCTATTTTAAAGGAAAAATGATTTTTTTTCCCCCCTACATGCATAATTGTACATGGTCAGACGGCACTTTTTGCTGCAATAAGAAAAAGGAATAGACATGTTTTCTGTTACATGCCTATTAAAGTGTATAAGGTTTTAAAGAATTTTTTAACCAAACTGGTTTGAAATTATTTAAATAAAAAACATTGTAAATGAAAAGAGCAACAAAATATTTTGAGTTGGGCTATTTTTTGTGGGTCAGTCGGTCAGCTAAGGGCAAACGATCAATATTTTAATCCTTACTAAAAACCAAAGTACAAAGTGTAGCCAAACCTGTTATTGGTATAATAGGACTTGTTTACTCTTACCCATGTGCGTGTGTGGAGTGTACAAGTATTAAAAACTGATTTTCCCCCCGAGACTTGTTGTACATAATATTTGCAACAATAGTACTTCTTTAACAATTTAATTTGATGAGGTCATTTCATTACTCTTTGTTTTGATTACAATATACATATAAGATTATAACACTATCAATTCATCCATAAAAGCAAAATTTGCATGAGCTTTCAAATAAATAAAAAAATTCATATATAAAATGTTAGGTTTTTCTATAAAAAATGACCTAGTAATACATATCATCAGTCTCCTTTAAACAGCTTCATGATAAGAGGAATGGTCAAAGCAAGAGCACCATAAAGAAATGTCACAGATGCTAAACTGCCAATTTTTACGGTCCACTGAATATTGCTTTCTGTTTCACTTAATAAGTCCTTGACCTCTGGTCCCACATACACCACATTATCAGCATTTGTCTGTGCTTTGTGAACTCCCATAACTTTCTTCACATCACCTAGTTCCTTTATCAAAAGTTCATGATTACTTTTAATTCCTTTCAGAACATCAGAAATATTTTGTGAATTCTGTATATGAGCTGTAGCTTGGAGACTTTTAGAATCCACTGGAGCACCCCTGACTTCATTGAAAAATCCTCGAACCTCTTTCTGCTGGTCTTGTACAATCTTTATCAAGTCGGTGGTCATCTTTTTGTAGTCATCTGCTGAGCCAGTAGCAGATAGAACTATATCCCTAAACTCTTTATTTTTGTGTCGATTGTAAATGAAATTAGCTAATAAACCTAAACCTACAGCAGCTATGGACCAACAAAGATAGTACAACTTAAAGTTCTCTGTCCTTAATCTTTCTTTTTCATGGCTCTCACTCACTTTGGAATTGTAATAATCAAATGCTAATTTTTCTTCCTCTTCCATCATTTCTAGAAGAGGTTTTACCTCATTTTTCCTTTTGATTATTTCGTTTTCTTGTATTGCTAGCTGTACATATCGATCTGTTCCTCTTTCTGTTTGCATTATTTCTTTTACAACACTCTCCATTTCTTTCTGAATTTCTAAGTATTCTTTAACGTTCTCTATTCTTTTCTTTTGAAGGTCCATGCATCTTTGACGAGCCTGTAACAAAGAGCAGAAATTATATACATGTAAATACACTGTAGTGTGTATATATACCAAATATTGACTTTAAAAAATGTCAGTACTCCTATATGCAATTGTGACTTCTTGTTTGCGACTTCTCCAACTATAAAACAATTAAATTTAATGTTGAGAAAATCTACATCTCAAAAAAAAAAGAAGTTTTAGCAATAAGATTCCTTGTTTTCCTGTCATACTCATTTTATTCAGAGAGAGTAATTAGTTGTACATTCATATAACATGACCACCGAGAAATGGTCTAGAAAATCAAAATGTGCTGAATAGAGTACTAAAATGTTAAGAGACTATGTGACATATCATCTGTTCATGGTCTGGAATACATGTATTTGTACAGTAAAACTTGTCTAATCCGAGACCACTGGCTCAATAAAAATTGGACAGATTGGGCAACGTTCCAGATTAGACAAAATTTTTAACATTTCAAATTTACTGAAAGCAAATTCCAATTTAAAATCGTATTAGCCAATATAATAGTCTAATCTGGGTTTGACAAGATTCACTGTACATCCATGTGCATTATTATGATCCACAAAACAATGAGGATGTTCACACTGTCTCAGGACTACTTATTGTGTTACGTTAATCTAATGAGCATGTAATATAGCAAAAAAAAAATTAAAAAAAGGCAGTGAATAATTTCACTAATTGTACTTAACCTTAATGGCTTCTTCCTGTGCTCTCCGGACTTCCGACAGACCGAATTTGTCCTCATACCACTGGATTACGCTGTCAATTTTACCAAACGTGGCTTTATCAGCTAAAGTATCGACTGCTTGGTAGCCTGTCTTGATTTGCCGTACAAAAATCAGTTTGGATAAGTAGTTTGGATGCACATGTTGCTGACACAGACGAAAGGGCAACATGATGCAAACCAAGGATTTCTTCTTGAAAGTGAAAGTAGACTCTACGGAATATTGTATTCCGATCCCGATAACTTCCCAGCATATTGTTTACGTTTTGTTATGTACACAGTGGAAATTTTACTGTTTTTCTCGAATTAAAAGAAGTCCATTAATTTATATGCATAGAATTTCTAATTAGATGGGAATTAGTTTTAAAATCTATAAAATATACTGCGAAAAGCAGTATTTTCGTTACTTGCAATGGGTAGTGAAATTTTTATAGCGAAAAGGTTTTGAGAAAAGCAAAACATTGAATTTATGAAAAATTTTAACTTAGTGAAATTAGAACTTTGCTGTTAGAATCCACTCATATCTCTCCAATGGGAAATAATTCTAATTAGTGATTTAAATGTTCTTTCATCAATTTTTTTAATTTTTTTTTTAATTTAACATTTAATATATACAGAAGAGCATCAACCACTTGTATAAAGAAGATGGGCGTGTTTGGCGTGTGATCTGCAGGAATAAGGCGTACGAAACATTTATAGTTTAAATGTCTACGATTTGGTCGGTTGACCACAGCTGGACATGCTTTACAAAGTTACGCACATGGGAAAATGTAACATTTAGTTTCAAATACTTTGCCAAATTTAATATATCAGTCCGCTTATCTTAATAATTACTACATCTAAAACTTAGTAACGCTTCACATAAATAATAAACACATATAGAGTATAGTTAAATGCAACTACAAGTACATACTTGTGTATATTATGGTATCAGTAGGTTGGAAGAATTGCTTTCGCTTTCGGTGCAACAGAACCAGAATTTATCTATTTGAAAATAAATGAGTTCATAAAATTAAACTGACAAAAGAATTGATTGTTTGTACTAAAAAAAAAAATATTAACGCTCCATGCGAGGATCGAACCAAAAATATTTCTTTTTCATTGCACTGGACGGGTAACGCACACTACTGAGCTATCACCGCTACAGACACTTCAAGGTTTCTAAAGCGACAATGAAGCACCGCATTTACACATTAGATTTTTTTTGGAAATAGTTCATTTTTTATCGTCTCTGGGTCTTCTCTCCATTTTTTACAAATGTTTGTTAGTTTCTTTGAATTAAAATGCACACAAATAACGTTTCAAAATCATGGAGAGATGACCCAGAGATAGCAAATTTTTAGAAAAACGTGTTTAAAAATGTAACATTTTGTACCAAATGACTCATCTAGCCAACTTTCAAGTTCTTTTTTAGCAAATCAAAGTACAATATCGGGAAAATATTTCCCTTTCCTATATCACAGGAACCCGATACATCAAAAGAATGCTAAAATTCTATGTGACAGATCAATAAAATTTTCACTTTTCAAGTGCGCCCAGATTCCTGCCGAATGCCAATCAAAAGCGCCCTCGTTCTTTAAAATTCATACATAAAAGTTATGAATGCAATTTCAAAATTGTGTGTATTATATGTTGATTGTTATTAATACTTTTCATTTTTTAAATCAAATATCAAATTAGAATTTTACAAAGCGTTTTACGAACACTCCGCGTGTGTATAAGGAATAAAAATAACTTATTAGGAGTTTGCTGGTAATTACAGTATAGTACTAAAATATTAGAGAAAAGTTGTTGTAAATTTTGTTTTGAATACATGTATATTCTACAGACACAAAAGACACACCATGCAATCAATTTTTTTCCCGCACTTCACATGTATTTTGATGTCCATTATTGCTGCGTGCAGTATGATCTGCCGCGAAATGCGGCATCATCACGTGACACAGATACCGGTACGATTACCAGCAAGTGGAAACTTTGCAGTCGATTTGATCCTTTGCATCCATATATTTTTCTTTTTCCCCCGGTCGTCGCCAGGTTTCTGGAAAGGGGGTTCAACCGTCCTCTTAGTTTTTGTTTGTTTGTTTGTTTGTTTGTTTGTTTGTTTTTTTTTTTGTTGTTTTATTTTTTTTTTTTTGTTTGTTTTTTTTTTTTGTTTTGTTTTGTTTTGTTTGTTTGTTTGTTTTTTTTGTTTTTTTTTGTTTTTTTTTTACATAGATAGGTACCATTTCGATTGGCTCTGGTGCATTCTTGAAGTAATTTTTCCACATTTTTAAGTAAAATAAATCTGACAAGGATGCGTTAATTAGATTTAAAATCTTCTTTTTTTTTCAAAAGTGATAATTTTTTGGTGTTGATTTAAAAGAGATGCGAACCCAGCCCGACGTCCCTATTCTTCTTCTTAAGGCATACCTATCAATTCAGTCTCTTCTATATATGTAAAGTGCGACATATAAATTAATAAGTTTTTATGAATTTTTTCATTAATAGCTATAAGAGTCCTTTGAATTTTCAGACTATTTATACATGTGTGAATATATGACTTTGATGATATTAATCCATAGATATATCGACTTCGCAGAAAAACATATATCGATGAATTACACAGTACGAAATCGATATGCCTTTTTGATAAGTCGATTGATACATCTAGGGATTGACTGAAAGGGCTATATCTGTTATATCATTTTCTTTTGGAGTGATAATAATCAAACAATCTCATTATAAAAGAATTTGTATACTTTTATTAATATTTACCTTGAATATCAAACATTAACAATTTTTTGGATTTCTCGATATTATTTCAAGTACATGTAACTCAAGTCAATATCAGTAAATATATTTTATGACCTGATATATTGCAAACAAATCAGATTTATTGAATTACACAGTAAAAAAAAAAGGATATATATACAATACATACAGTCCATCTTTACCTTTACAAACTATTTTACTTTATATGCACAATAGTTACATTACCAGGCATGTTATAAAATTTATATATTTTTTAAAAGGCGCTACTGTACACCAGTGCACTTTACATTTGCATTGTCTAGCCCAATTCAAATCAAACTGCCAAAAAAAATGTTAACAAGCGAATCATAAATTATGTGAACATACAACATTTTTATGACTACACCTGGATATTGAAGGATGATCTCCGTTTGACGATTCACACAACAAAATGCATTCTGGAAATGACCATTCGTTGTAAATTAAATAAATTAAATAAATTAAATAAATTTTTAAGTGCATGTTAAATGGTTTACAGCCAGTGGAATACGATGAAATATAATGCATTTCTAAATTATGAAAAAGCGAAGTTGAGCCTATAAGTGACATTTTATTTGTAATGTGCAACGATCTAATGTAAAAATGCAGCATACTTATGTAACATGCAAATGACATGTCAACATGTAATCTAAACATGTTGTTCTGCAAATTAAATGTGTCGTCACGCAACTTAGCTATGTTATCAGATAGGACCTAGTCAAATTAACACCTCGAATATATTTCAGATTTGGTTTTCAAGATGGGAAAAACAATTCACAGTTTTCTTTTAAATTTGATGACACTATATTTAAAAAAGAAATGTAAACAACCAATCATTATTTCAAAAAAAATCATTCAAATCAAAAAGTAAAAATAAAGCAGTGTTGCCTTGTCCCCTTTCAACATGAATAAAAATCTTGTCAAGACAATTTAATCATTTCAACAAAAAAGTTGCTTGTCAACATCAATATGAATTATGAAACAAAACTATTTTGCATATAGGCATAATGAAAAGGTTGCGTACTGAGACGTTTATTTATACAAAATTACATTGCAGATAAAAAAAAGAAATACTTGTACAAGTATTTTGCTTCGTTTGTTTCGATTTTTTTCGTTTCTTTATCGGAAAGCTCATATTAATACTTTGTGATAAACTACCGGTACTTATCGTTGTCTACTAACAATGATACTAAACGACTATTTTAAAACTATAAGTACGCTTATAAAATAAGTACGGAATTATAGAATTCATCTATTATAGACAAATGCTTCGATATATCAGCAGTACAAAATGATTGGTACATATGTACTAATAATTATGACATAACAACAAAATCATTAATTATACAGAACCATGAAACAATGATGATTGGAGAATGATATTTTTTTTTAAATGTTGACGGAAAAAATATATCTTGAACGATATTTTGTAACAAATGAATTTTCACCTGGCTATAACAAAGGGAACCAAGTTATTTAAAACGGAAAGAAAGAAAGGCCTATAGGTGATTCACAAAAAAGTACTTTTATTCATTACGTATACTAGCCGCAACGTTAACAGCGTTTTCAAGCAAGCTTTGTTCCATTAACTCATGCGATATATATAAATTCATAGGCGTCGGAAGCAAATTGAAAGTGGGGTGGCTAATTGAAAGTGGGGGGAGTGCTAAACCAACGAAAAAACGTAAGCCCCAATTTTCAATGCCTATATTATGTCTATCTTTGCAAAAAAGGGGGGCATCCCCAGCCCCCCCCCCCCCCCCGGTTCCGACGGCTATGTTAATAGTTATGAAGTGATATAACTTTCAGCTACCATTGCAGTCTTGTTTTGTCATGTAAAACGCTACATTTTTACCATTAAGGACAGATGATACAAACAAAACTATGGATGCCTGGATAGGTATATATTTTTGGACCTATTTGATGTAATTTATGCAGATAAAAAAATTTCATAATTATTTAGAAATTGTTAACTTTCTATGATGCTCAAAATTCTACTTTTCTGCAACCATCCTTATTGTGAAACACTTACATAAACATGGTTTAAGTTGTTATTTCCAAAATTTTTGATAAAAATGTGTTTGCATCATCTGTCCTTAAGCTCACATATAAACATCCTTACACTTAACAGAAAGTGACACAGTTTTGAAACAGACGGTTTTCTATAAGTAAATTCTCAGGGAAAATGATTTGAATTGAACATGTGTTTTTTTTTTCTCAACTAAATAATTCTAGTTTATGTCTAGAAAAATCATATTTAATATTTTTAGACAGATTTGGTCGGTAATTATGTTGACAACCAGACTCCATGATTTTCATGAAGATAAATGCCATCTGACACCATCCATCCTCATCGGTACATTCCTTCTTTCAATCAAAATGATACTGTGATTCCTAAACAACAGGTAAACA